CACATGAGCTTTGGGGGGACATCTAATATCTAAACTATAACAAGGCCTTAGAATAGCATGAGGAGGGTCTGGGATTGTAGCACAGTGGTAGAGTGCTCACCCAGCATGTGTGAGGCCCTGGATTTGATCCTTAGCACCACACAGAAATAAATAAAATTAAGGTATTAAAGATTAAAAAAAAAAAAAAGACTAGCATGATGAGCTAAGAAATCCAGGATTGTAGTGTTAAGCGGTTGCTTCTATGTCAAGGCACTAATTATTAAAATTTAATTCCAGGACTGATTCTATGGTTTCCAGATTAAAATACTGATTGAATTCACAGCCTAAATTTTCTTTTCTTTTTTTTTTTTTTGGTGCTGAGGTTTGAACCCAGGACCTCTCACTTGCTAGGCAAGCAATCTACCTCTGAGTTATACCCTCAGCCCCTCATTGGGTCTATTATGTGAAAGTTAGGCACTGATCAGGTCAGAGAATCCTGGGAAATTGGACTCCACATGTCTATATCCAGTAAGTAGCTCTGTCTATTGCCCTTGACCTACTAGTCTTAGTGACATGGTAGGTCACCGCCTTTTCCTTCACACAGGCCTCACACTGCTACTTAGGCTGCTCTGCTGCCTCTTCCTCTTTGCAATGTGGGGTACTTAGGTTTTAGTCGTCATGGCTTATATCTTCTTCATAGTCTTCTTTGTAGAGCTGGCCCAGTGTTATGACTATAAATATGATCTACATACCCATGAGGCCATTTCTTACCTGAAGCCCCAGGCTTTTTAACACCAGACTTGAAGCTGCAATCATCTTGTCAACATCACTTGGATATCCAACTGGCATTTCATCTAAACCACCTTTGGCTGAACTACTGACCCACATCTCCCACAAGCTTCCATGTACACAGGTGGTACTTCTACCCTTTGGCATATGTTTCTCATATGCCTTCCTCCAAACTGTCAGCAATCTTGGTTCTACCTTCAAAATACATGCAAAAGGACTATGAGTGTAGCACAACGGCTCAGTGGTAGAGTGCTTGCCTCTCATATTGAGGCCTTGGGTTCAGTTCCCGCACATATATACTGAAGTATATATATATAGAAGCTGGGTATGGTAGCACATGCCTATAATTCCAGCAACTCCAGATGCTGAGACAGGAGCACCCAAGTTTGAGGCCAGTCTCAGAAATTTAGCAAGACCATCAGCAATTTGGTGAGACCCTGTCTCAAATTAAAAAATAAAAAGGACTGGGGATATAGCTCAGTGGTTAAATGCCCCTGGGTTCAATTGCTAGTACCAAAAAAAAAAAAAAGTGTGTACATATGGGGGTGGGTGATGCTGGAGGCACAGCTCAGTGGTAAAGCTCATGCTTGGTATGCTAGTATACATAAGACCCTGAGTTCAGTCCCAGCACCAAAAAATAAAAATAAAAAAATAGATGCAAAATCTGACCACTTCTCAGTAGCTCCACCAGAAGCATCATTGTCTTTCATCTGAATTATTTTTTTTTTAATTTTTTATTGTTGGCTGTTCAAAACATTACATAGTTCTTGATATATCATATTTCACACTTTGATTCAAGTGGGTTATGAGCTCCCATTTTTACCCCATATACAGATTGCAGAATCACATCAGTTACACATCCACTGATTTACATATTGCCATACTAGTGTCTGTTGTGTTCTGCTGCCTTTCCTATCCTCTACTATCCCCCCTCCCCTCCCCTCCCCTCTTCTCTCTCTGCCCCCTCTACTGACATTCATCTGTCCCCCTTGTATTATTTTTCCCTTTCCCCTCACTTCCTCTTGTATGTACTTTTGTATAACTCTGAGGGTCTCCTTCCATTTCCATGCAATTTCCCTTCTCTCTCCCTTTCCCTCCCACCTCTCATCCCTGTTTAATGTTAATCTTCTTCTCATGCTCTTCGACCCTACTCTGTTCTTAGTTACTCTCCTTATATCAAAGAAGACATTTGGCATTTGTTTTTTAGGGATTGGCTAGCTTCACTTAGCATAATCTGCTCTAATGCCATCCATTTCCCTGTAAATTCTATGATTTTGTCATTTTTTAATGCAGAGTAATACTCCATTGTGTATAAATGCCACCTTTTTTTTATCCATTCATCTATTGAAGGGCATTTCATCTGAATTATTGCAGCAGGTTCCACCCAAGTGTCCTCGCCCCATTAAAGTATATTCTCCCCAGCAGCTCAGGAGGCTGAGGTAGAGGATCACAAGTTCAAAGACAGATTCAGCAAAAGCAAGGTGCTAAGCAACTCAGTAAGACCCTGTCTCTAAATAAAATACAAAATAGGGTTGGAGATGTGGCTCAGTGGTTGAGTGCCCCTGAGTTCAATCCCGAGTATTTAAAAAAAAAAAAAAAAGTATATTCTCAACTCAGTAGCAGCCAGAGGAAAGATAATTTTCAAATGTTTATCAAGTCAAGTCACTCTTCCCAAGACCCTGAGATTGAAGTCCTAGATCAAAAAGAACTGGTCCTCCTTTATCTAGGGTTCAACATAATCTACTCTCCATGACTTCTCATATTTAGTCTTCCTCCTTTTCTTCGTTCTTCCCAAGCCACCCCAGCCTCTTCTATGTCCTTGAACTAACTGGTGGCTGTGCAATGCTCCATAACCTAATCCAAGGCTTTGGCACCCTCTAATATGCTACATCTTTTGCTTATTTGTTTACTGTGTGTGTCTCTCCCCACTAGAATGTCATCTATCTGACAGCAGGGAAGTTACCCATTATGCTTACTCCTGTATTCCCACTGCTTAGCACTTGATAGGCACTTAACAAATGTGCTGAATTAATGAATTAAGTGTAATGCACAAAAAATTCAGATCACCACTAACCCCCAGTTTTTTTGGTACTTTCCTTGCCCACTGAAGTAAGGTGTCCTAGAAAGATATGAGGGAATGTGGCTTTGCAAAAGGGAGCCAACGATTCTTATGGTCCTTCCTCCCAATTTCTTAGTGTCTCTTATGCCTTAAACTAGAGATGGATCTCAGCATGTCTGGGAGGCTCTATTACATGAGCCAAACCCAGAGGGATAGCTTATACATCAAAAGAATTATAACACATTGTTACTTTATATTAGCCAAAATATGAAGAAATGTGTGAGACTGAAGTCCTAGACCTAAAAGAACAAGTTTAGATTGAGCTACATTTATCAATATGGGTACAGAAACTTGGGGTTCACTGTGCTAGCTCAAGTTGTTGGGGATTGTTCTACATACCTGTTTGGTTAGCTGAATGAAAGCTGGATCTCACTAAATGCAGTGAGATACTGTATAAGTCCATTTTCCATTGCTCTAACAAAATACCTGAGGCTTAAAAACAGAGGTTCATTTTTTATTTTTTGGTGCTGTGGATTAAACCCAGGGCCTGACACATACTAAGCATGCATTCTATCACCCAGCTATAAAACAGGTTTATTTAGCTCAGAATTTTATTTATTTATTTATTTGGTTGGGGGGCGTAACTTGGGATTGAACCTAGGGGTACTTAACCACTGAGCCATATGTCAGCTCTTTTTTATTTTTTATTTTGAAACAAGAGTCTTGCCAAGTTGCTTAGGGCCTCCCTAAATTGCTAATACTGTTTCGAATTTGCAATCCTCCTGCCTCAGCTTCCTGAGTCACTGGAATTATACGCATGTACCACTGTGCTCAGTGCCCTTTTTTAAATTTTGAAATAGGGTCTCACTAAATTGCCAAGGTTTGCTCAAATTTACAATCTTCCTGCCTCAGCCTCCCCACTCTCTTGAATTACAGGCCTGTGTTTGAAGTCTACCTCTTAAAGGTCCTCTGCCTCCTAGCATTGACACACTGAAGACCAAGCTTTCATCACATGAATGCTTGGGGACACAGCCAAGCTATATCCAAACCATAGCAGATGCCCAGAGCTTCCTAGTACATGTAGTGCTTAAGATCTAGTCATTCATTCAAAATAAATGTTGGGACTGAAATTTTATCATGGACAACTCACCTTTTCCCTGAATTCCTAGAAAAGGCCCAGAAAATACTCTCTTCACTGAGGCCATCGAAAATTCATTGCTGAGGCGAGCATCTTTGAAAACTTGTTAGACTACTATAGCAAAGTGCAATAAACTGAATGACTGAAACCACAGAAAGTTCAAGAAGCCTGGGCAATTTCGTGAGACCTTATGTCAAAATAAAATATAAAAGGGGCTAGAGATGTAGCTCAGTGATGAGGTACACCTGGGTTCAATCTCTGGTACCATACACACACAAAAGGGGGCGGGCAGGATGGCATGGTGGCACAGGCCTGTAATCCCCGCAGCTCAAGAGATTGAGAAAGGGGGATGGCGAGTTCAAAGCCAGCCTCAGCAAAAGCAAACTGAGACCCTGTCTCTAAATAAAATACTAAATAGGGCTGGGGATGTGGCTCAGTGGTCGAGTGCCCCTCAGTTCAATCCCCAGTATTCCCAAAAAAGCAGGGGGAGAGGCTCTTAGATTTCAATTTAGATAACAGAATGCTAAGTAACAATGGTTAAGCAGTGTTGAGCTGCCAGAAGAGGTGCAGAGACCATGACATGTAGGACATGTAGGTAATTTGAAAGGTCAGAATTGCGGGGATCTTTCACAGTAGGAAACTAATCATCAGGCCCCCAGAACAAAACTAGATGAAAAGCCAGCAGAGTTCTACTTATATGACAGAACCTGTGGCTCAGCTAACAGAATCCTGACTGCAATAAAAAGGATCCCTCATCAACTTTCCAGATAAAATCAGTTCATGAACCCAGGAGCCCCTGAAGGGAGCCAGGTAGGCACCCTTTAAGGAGGGCCTCCAGCATGTCCATGAGTGTAGCTCAGGGCTCAGTCCAAGGCAACATAATTCCTCTCCGGTGAGGGGTGTCCCCAGGGAGTAGGAGCTGAACCAAGGATTCCCACTCAGATTGAAAAGAAAGATCTCTATATGGGGCATGTACAGAACTGTCAGAGAGAATACCTCAAAAGCAGAAAACTGGCTACAAAATACAATCTTAAATTATCATGTTTTAAAAAGTATTTATTGCAAAGAATGCTGGACACAGTGTGATTTGTAGCTGAGATTCAATACCATCCATTCTCAGGAAAGCAGGAAAACATTTGCAACTTGGACACATCAACCATCCCAGCTACCTGGCAGCCAACCAGGCTTGTGGCTGCCTATGCAGAGGTTTCTCCAGGACAATGTTGAGGGAGAGGGCTGATCCTTGCACATGCCCTGACCCCAGACTTCCTTCTGCCCTATCCCTAGTCCTTGTAATACATCCATGTCCAGCAGCTCCTGCCTCTTCTCTATACAGGGAGAACCAAGGCTTCAGTGGTCTTGCCTCAGGTGACATTGAAATGTAAATGCACAGCCACTGGCCAAAGGGATCTGCTATAGCTAATAAGTATTTTCAGGAGGTGTCAAAAGTCACCTAGAAGGATCCTGTCCTAGCCCTGTCCCAGACATCTCTCTACCTGTATTTATTCAAAGATGCTACAGCACACAAGGATGAGAGACCACTGGCCAGGGACAGTGGCTCCTCTCAGGGACAGGTGGTACTGACAGGCTGCAAAGTTAAGGGGGCTGGAAAAGATAGGCTGCTCTAGCCAGGCACAGGCATGGAAAGATTCCAGATACAAAATGGGCTTGGGAATCCAGGAGCATGGCTTCACCAATGTCCACATATGGCATCTGACAGAGAGAATCTGACTACTAGTCCTTCCAGACACTTTCCAGTACTGACCCACAACCTGACTGGTTGGGCTGTTGGCCAGCTATAAAAAGGATCCAGAAACCATTGCCTGGACCCAGAAGAACTCAGGGGCATGACAGATGTCAGACTTTGTAAAGCCATTTTCACCAGGCTTCATATGCACATGAATCAAAGTTGTGATGCAATTGGAGAAATGCTTTCTTGGCCAGGGGCTACCTCTGTCCTCTCCCTTCCTCAGTCTCACAGGTAGAAGTCAACAAACACCAGGACAGATTTTATAGGACCACAAGTTTTTCTGAACGATTTATGGCAAATGCATGTTTCTGCCACCAATATACATTCCTGTGTGGATAGAAGCTGCAACAGGCAAGAGGCAACCTCGTCCCTGGCTGCCAGTAGACATATAGCCTGGGAAGGGGAGACTCAGCCCTCCCCTTGAGCACTTCGGTGTATGCACCAGAAAGGTAACTTGTACAACTACCCAGTCTTTACATGGTTGCACTATGACCTGTGGGAAGGGGTGGCTTTGGCCACCAGCTTGCCCATATTCCAGTGTATGCACAGTTGGGAAGGGGTGGTCACAAATACTCTTCTTCCGACATGTTTCTACAGCATCACAAGATGCTAAAGCAGTGTGTTGCTTTCAGGAGTGTCCACAAATATGAGTGATATGGACCCAAGGACCTGGTCAGTGTCTTCTTCTCTTCAATTCCTGGATGGGAAGGATGGGGAAGGCTCTCCCGCTCACCTGAGGCAGCAGATGCTCAGGGATCCATGAAGACCTGGCCACTGGCTCAGCAAGAGGCCACAGAGCAGGTAGTAAAGGTCCTACAGGGTGTCACTTGGTCAGCCCCAGACAATTGGGCCACAGTGACAACATCTCAACGAGACTTTCTGCTTCACATTTAGGGATATACACTTCACAAAGCCATCTGGCCTTTTGAGAGTAACCACCTGAAAGCTGCAACAAAGGGACCAGCTGCTGGGCAGCCTCAGCCCACCGACGTGGCACAGTCTAGTCCAGTGATTCTTAGCAGCAGGTTAGCAGCCACGCCCAACCCTGTCACAGACTATCAACAAGGAGGCAGGTGAGCTGGGCAGGGACTCTGGGTGCTGCCAGCCATACACTGCTTTGAGAGTATTTCTGCATGGTGACTGTCACATACACAGACCTTCTGCAGAGATCAATGCCTGCCCAGGGGTTGCAGTGGATGAGAAATGGTCACTGGTGAGCCGGGACTGTGACAAGGGCTTCCTCTGGAGGCCGAGAGATGTCTACATTCTGCACAATAAAAACACAGAACATTCATCCTGTAGCAGGATAGATAGGAAACCTACTGCCTGCTTTCCCTATCATGTGGCCAGATGGGACGGGTATACATTCTCACCTCAGGAGACCCAGCCACAGGACTCTAGACCCTTAGCTTCCCTAAGAATGTAGTCACAAGCTTCCTGTCACACAATGGGTGCTCAGACAATAGGGCAAAGGTTGGGTGGGGAATGTCACTCAGCTCATTGCTCTATTATAGGCAGGTCAAAGCAAGGCTTTCAGTTACAAGGACCTACAGGTTAGACAAAGCAAGGTTAACTCCTGCTCAGGGTTGGGTCACATATAGAGGAACCCTTGGCTTAGAGCCTGAGTCCTCATTAGTGGGGACAGGGAGGGAGTTAAACTCCTAGGAGGTGCCTCCCTCCTGGCTCTGTCAGAGCATAGGTGTCAGACATGGCCCCAGAAGTCCATGAACATCTCCTAGTCTACAGCCTGGTCTGCTCCTTCAGGGCTGGAGCACAGTCCCCTGAAGCTTTCAACTACAGATGGCCCCTACAAAACTATAGAACCCATCTTTGGTCTGCTGAGCTCAGGATATCTCAAGCCTGAGAACAGGGGTCCTCAGACTCCCCTCAGTTCTACGAGGCTGTCCTACATAAGCCCTATTCTTGTGCCCCTCCTCCCACCTGTGGGTCATGAGAACTATCACCTGAAGGAGCAGGTCACCAATGATTTGAGTTGCAGCCTTGTGCAATGTGATGCCCAGATCCACAGGGAAAGAGATAGCCCCCTTGACCTATACCATGGGCTCACAGACCAGCCACTGGAATTGTAGAGGCAGGTATATTTCTAACCTTGAGGTAGGTTTCCTGAGGGCCCCCATTCCCACCATATCCCAACCCCAAAGATGAGCCAGGAAACTATAGGATCCTATCTCCCTGAAAGGGAACTGTCTGGAAACCTATGGCCAATAATAATAACTCTTTTTCAGAAGTATGCATCCTGAGACTGTCAGAGTGACTATCAGCCAGAGCATGGCCATGGGCTGGCAGGGTTAGCCCCCAAAGGCTGCCAGATCCAGGGACCTCACTCACCATTACCCTATCAGTGCTGGGGGCCCAACACCACCTGAGCTTTCCTCAGTGAAAAGGATGCCTGGTAGAATATGCCTTCCCCTGGCAGGGGATGTGGGGATAAGAAAGATAGTAGAATGAAACAGAAATTACTTTATGTATGCATGTGATTCTACAATATGTACACTCAGAAAAATGAGAAATTATATCCCATCTATGTATGATATATCAAAGTATATAAGTGCATTCTACTGTCATGTGTAACTAATTAAAACAAATTAAAAAAGAAAAAAAAGAATATGCCTTCCCCTGTGACCTGTAGGTGCTAGACAGCGTGGTTCAAACTTGGCCAAGACAAAGATTCCCAGAGCAAAGAGAAAAGAGGCCTGCATGGTGACTGGTCCTGGTTGTGGAAAGCAACGTTGGGAAGGAATAGGACACATTACTATCTCTGCAGTGTTCAAGACTAAGGAGCTGAAGGTGAGGAGGGGCACATCAGCAAAGACCCTAGTCCATGTATGTGCCACCATGAATGGCAACAGATATGACTAAGGCCACAGAAGTCTTCCTGGTGCAGTGGACTCCAGAAGGGAAGGGAGGTCCTCTCCTTGGCTACTATGAAAGGACCTCCACATAGTCAGTGAAACTGGTACTGGGCAGCACTTAGAGGAGCTTCACCACCATGAACAAGGCCCTTGGAGAACAGAGGTAGTGAGCTGTCCTTCTGGAGGCAGTTTTCTGCCTACAGCTAGGCTCCTCAGCATCTTCCCCAACAAAACATGATACTGTTCTTATGTTCAAAAGCACTTTAGTCAGAAATGATGCTCACACAAGGCATGGACTGGCAGAAGATAGAAAAATCCCCACTTGCTCCTCTTTGTCTCAGACCTCTATGGTGGGGCTACTGGGAGCTGTGTGACTTCTCAAGAAGTGGCAGTCAACCATACCCAAATTCAGGTGCTTACTGACATGGTAGCCCAGCCCCAGGGATTCCCCTACCCCTAGAGCAGCTAACCAAGACACAGCCCCACCCAAGGACAGGAGAACTATCTGGGCAGAAAACAGCCTTGGCAAAAGATTTGAGCTCCTTCTGGCAGGCACCCAAGCTGGCCTTAAAGATTTAGAGTCTCAACACCTCTGGGCAACATGCCTGCCATCCCAGCAGTGACCCCAATACTACCTGAGGCCTGTCCCGGTGTGTGTTCACAGCTGCCACATTTAGGAATATGGATTCCACTTTACAACCTGTCAGAAAAGAGGAAAATTTAGTTCCCCCTCCCTGGAAAGACTGCTGGAGACAGAGGACAAAATCTTATCTCAGGAGGAGGTTATGGATTGTGGAATGGAGCAGCTATCTCAGCTTTACTCTAGTACTAGTACTCCCACCTCAGGTAGCCCTAAGGAGTCAGTCAGGAAAGATTAGGAAAGAGATGGTATCTTGTCAGTCTTGTGCTTATCCATGTATGACTGCCCAGACAGCTCCACCCAGAGGCCCCAAGCTGCCTACGCAGGGACCAAGAGCAGAGCAGTAACAGGCTTAAGCTCAACATGGGGTCACTTATTTGTGGGGGGGTCCTCAAACCACTGATAACCCTAACCCTGCCACACAAGGTCAAATCAATTTGTGCTGGGTGCTCAGTGCAAGGGGGAGGTTATCACACATTGGAATGAAATTAGCTGCCCATACAGCTTCATCCTCAAATGAGAACCTGTATCAGAGGAGTTAACACCCAAACTAGAAAGCTGCCTGAGCTCTCTGTTAGTGTAGTGAGAGGCAGGAGTGAGATATAAACTGCGCTGTACCCAGAACATTTTAAGATCCAGGTCCTGGGGGTCATGGGTGTTTGGGTGGTTTTCGAAACACCAGTAGAAAAGGCCCTCATGCAGGTGGGTAATGGTTAAGGAAGGATCACTGGAGACGGTTCCTGAGGTCACATAAACATCCCTCCCCCCCCCCCCCCAGTACTAGAGATTGAATTCAGGGCTTTGCACATGCTAGGCAAGGGCTCTTACACTTAGCAACATCCTCAGCCTTTTTTTTCCCCCTCTTTTTTTGGGGAAGGGCTCAAACTTATGATCCTTCCACCTTAGCCTCCCAAATTCCTGGGATTATAGATATGTGTGACAGAGTCCCATTTCAACATAAACTTTTAAATAACAAACTTAAAAAGCAAATTGGGAATGGTAGTGGTACAGGGACTGGAGGAATGGGCCCCTAATGGAATTTTCAAGTGATTTGCCAAAAATCACAAAATGCTACAGAGAGCTAAGATCAACTGTGGGACCCTCCCTTACCATAAGCCACAGGAGTCAGCTTCAGGACTGTGTGCAGTGGACACTTGAGGTAGGGAAGCTGTTCTGTGGACAAAGAAGGGAATGGATAACATGCCCAGGTGACAGTCCCTCTTTTTCTCACACACACACACACACACACACACACACACACACACACATCCCACCTCCCCAGAGGCAAGACCCCTAACCTGCTGCCTTGTCAAGGAAGTAGGCCAGAAGACACCGCATCACAGCCTGGTGGCAGATGACTAGCACATTCTCTTGCCTCTCCAATTCCATAATGACTGGTTCTAGACGCTGGACCAGGTCCTCATAGGACTATAAGGGCAAACAGGAAGGTTGTCTCTCAGGCCTGGATTCCAGGGTAGGTAGGAACAGAAGCATCCTGGGCAATGGGCTACCTTCCCATTCCTGGAGCTGCTCACCATTCAGAAATTTGTGGCTAACCCTCTTCCAGCCTGGCTTCTGAGGGGATAGAGTTGGTAGACGCCCTTAGAAGACTGCCAGTGAGATGTCTGGCTTGAGAAGGAAGAAAGTAGGAGTGGGCAATGTGGGAAAGGAGCCACCTCCCCTTCCCAGGGCCAGGACTAGGACTGAGAGGGCTAGGCCTTAAGCTCTCATCCCAAAGGACTACCTCACACCCACTCATAGGGACATACACTGAACCCTATGGGAATTCACATTCTATTAACTGTGGCTGACGGAAAAGATGCAAGATGCAACCTGCTTTCAGTTCACAGCAGACAAGGGTGGTAGGGAAGGGGAACAAAGGCCCCAGAATTTCCTGGAGAGTAATTGTCAGAAACACATGAGGTTTCTAGGAACAACCCTCACAGTGTGCCCTCTGCCTTCCCCTACCTCTGTGATAATATGTAATTTGGACCCTTGCTGGTCCCCTAATCAACACTCATATGTTAGGAGAATTGGACTTAAGCCTTGAGGGAATTTTATTTCTCTGTATATAATGAGTAGCCCTTTAAAATAAAGTACCCATGGTTGAATTTGCCCCATGCTTTGACTCGGAAGCAATACCAATACACTGATTTATGCTGGCCCCTAGTAGTTCTAGGCAGAACTTGGATCAATTCATTTAACTTCAATTTATTTAACTTCTACCTCAGGCCATTTCCTAGAAGGGAGAAGAAGAGCTGCATGAGTGAAAAGTGACCCCCCAGTTTCTGACCTGGGGCCTAGACTGACCAGGGACTCTATTGGAGGGAAGGTGACAAGTGCAGATCACTTATAGTGATCACAATCTATCTGGGGAAGGTGCCTCTGGGTCTGGAACCAAGGCTGGGGTGGTGCCTAGAGCTGTAGAGAGGACAGGATCATCCTGTAATGATGGGAAGCATCCATAGGGAAAGCAAAGGCCCAGCATTGAGACATGAGTGGGCTAAGACCTAAGTCTCAGGCCTGGCATGTGTCCCTACTACTTGGCTATTTGAGCACCCTAGGAAGGGCTAACAACTTCCTGGCAAAGGAGCTAGGAATGTAAGGAGACCATAAACGAAGCCAAACCACACAGAGCCAGGCTCTGTTGTGCCTCCACCCTGGAAATGAGGAAAACAGGGACAAGGAGCAGGGATTCAACAGCTCCCAGGGTTGGATACCTGCTCTATGTAATACTGTCCACCCACCAACCAAGGAGGGGGCAGAGGCCTGGACCACAGAGCTAGGAAGTGGTAGAGATGAAACATACCACAGATCCTCAGTCACAGGCAGTATTCCCAGATAGGCATCAGGTAGTTGGAATAAGACCCAAATCCCACCTACCTCACCCTTGGGGTACCGGTACCGGTACTTGTCTTGGTCCCGCAGGGCAAATTCCAGTGGATAATGATACTGAATTTCCTCATATGTCATCTCCTCACAGACACCCTAGGAAGACACCACAGTCATCACATCTCTCAATCTAGGCCTGGAAAAATCAGTCTTGCAGTGGTTGGGGAATTACAGGCAGAGAAGACCATTCACAGGGCATTTCCTAGGCCAATGGAACTCTCCCAGCCTAGAACTTAGACTATCTGGGAAAAGTGTGTCCTCTCAGAACACAGCCTGAGGCAGCCCCCTGTTTCTATGAAGCTACCAGAACAATCTTTGCCCATCCATCCAGTTTATGCCATAAAATTAAACACAAATGTTAAATGTGCATCTTTTTTCTGTGCTGTGAAAATATAAAGTCTTAGTATAGAGTGTTGTACAAATTATAAAGCAATTTTCACTTGTGTCATTCAGAACACACACACCCAACATAGATTACTTTATACAAATATATTAAAAAACAAAACAAAACACCAAACAAATAAACACAAATAAAACAAAGCAAACAAACAAAAAAACCACAAAAAACAACAATAACAAAAGTACCCAACCTGCAGAAAATGATTGAAAATAATTAAGAGTAATTTAAGGACACAGAGAGGCCCAGAGTGAATTAAACCATCTCTTCCTTAGCCTGGTGCACCCCTACTGAGCCACATTACCAGCAGCATTGTGGACCTCTTTCCCAGGGCCCTGTAAAGAATGACAAACTCTCCCCAATCCATTCCTTCATTCAGGAGTCTAGGAATGTCTGAATTGACCAGTGATTTTCCTGAGGCCCAAGCCAAAAGCCATTAAAGAAGACATATCCAGAGAGAAAGAGAGAAACAATAAAGTATCCTAACAAAAAGCTGCATGTCTCTGATTTTGTTCATCTTTTTTCTACAAAGACTGGGCAGGGCTGGGGATACAGTTCAGTTGGTAGAGTACTTGCCTCGCATGCACAAGGCCATGGGTTCAATCCCCAGCACCATACAATCACAAAAAAGACTATAAGAAAAGATAGAGCCAGGCATGGTGGCACACACCTATAATCCCAGTGGCTTGTAGGATCACGAGTTCAAAGCCAGCCTCAGCAACAGCGAGGCACTAAACAACTCAATGAGACCTTGTCTCTAAATAAAATACAAAATAGGGCTGAGGATGTGGCTCAGTGGGCAAGTGCCCCTGAGTTCAATTCCTGGTATCGGGGGGGGGGGGGGATGATAGGGACTCGTGTTGTGGCTCAGTGATGGAATGCTTTCCTAGCACATGTGAGGCACTGGATTCAATCCTTGGCACTACATAAAAAAAACAAATAAAATAAAGGTATTGTGTCCATCTATAACTAAAAAAGAAAGAAAAAGAAAAGAAGAGCTGGGGCTATAGCTCAGTGGTAGAGCACTTGACTAGCACATGAGACCCTGAGTTCCATTCCCAACACCATACACAAAAAAAAAAAAAAAAGAAAGAAAGAAAACAAAAGATAGAGCTGGGCATGGCACACACCTATAATCCCAGTGACCCAGGAGGCTAAGGCAGGATCAACACAAGTTACATACCAGCCTGGGCAACTTAGTAATACCCTGTCTCAAAATAAAAAATATAATGGGCTGGGGATGTGGTTCAGTAGTTCAGCACCCCTGGGTTCAATCCCTGGTACAAAAAAAGAAAAACATCAGTGCAGAAAGTAATAAAATAGAGAACAGAAAAAACAATCAAGCAACAAAATCAAAATTAATTTTTGGAAAAGATCAACAAAATTCAAAATTTATGAACTCAATTTAGCTAGAATGACCAAGAAAAAAGAAAAGAGAAAAGAAGGCTTGAGTTAGCAAAGTTGGAAATGAAAGAGAAGATATTACTACCAACCTATGGAAATACAAAATAAAAGAATGTTATGAACAACTATATATATAGATATTGTATCCATGGATTCAATAGAGGATCAAAAATATTTGGAAAAAAAGATGTGTATATACTGAACAAACACAGACTTTTTTCCTAAAGAATACAATGTATAATAACTATTTACATAACATTGTATTAGGTATTATAAATAGGTAAGATTATTTAGTGACTTTTAAATTTTATTTATTTATTTACTTATTTGAGACAGGGTCTCAAATGTTACCCAGGCTAATCTTGAACTCATGGCCTCAAGCAATCTTCCTGCCTTATCCTCCTCAAGTACCAGGAATTAGAGCTGTCTACTACCATGCCTGGCTTAGAGATGATAGGTGTAGATCATGTGGAAATATTATACAATGGATTTAAGTATACATGGATTTTGGGTATTGACTAGCATTCTGAAACCAATCCCCCAGAGATTAGGTTGCTTAGATGAAAAAAATGTTAAAAAGACAAACTACCTGTTGTGGGTTGAACTGTATCTCCTCAAAAGGTATGTTCAAGTCCTAAACCCTTGTAGGTGTAAATGCCACCTTCTTTGGGAATAGGGTCTTTGAAGACATAATCAAGTTAAGATAAGGGCATATTGGATCAGACTAAGCCCCAAATCCAGTGACTGGTATTCTTTTAAGAAGATCACATGAAGACACAGACACACACAGGGAAAAAGACCATGTCATGATTGAAGTAGGGACTGGAGTGATAACTGCTGCAAGACAAAGATTACCAAGGATTTCTGGCAACAATGAGAAACTAGGAAGAGAGGAAATATTCTGTACTAGAGACTTCCAAAGGAGCAGGGTCTTGCTGACACCTTGATTTCACACTTCTAGGCTCCAGAAGTACGAGAAAATAAATTTCAGTTGTTTGAAGCTACCCATCTTATGGTACTTTGTTACTGCAGCCCCAGGAAGCTAACATATATTTTGGTACCAGAAGTGAAATGCTATAAAAAATAACCAAAAATGTGGAAGTGGTTTTAGAATTGGGTAGTAGGTAGAGGGTTGGAAGAATTCTGAGGTGCATGAAAACAAAAAGCTTAGATGACTTGAAGACTCTATGGTAAAAATATGGAAGCTCAGATGGAAGAAGATGGTAGAGAAAGCTTCTGTTGCCTAAAGGAATACATATATCATCATGAACAGGCTGATAGGAATGTGAATGTTAAAGGTTCTTCCATCAAATTTCAGAAGGAAATGAGGTACATATTACTGGACTCTAAAGAAAAGATAATCTTTGTTATAAAGTGGCAGAGGACTTGGCTGAAGCATATTCTAGTATCAGGTGGCTGTCATCAAAAAGTCAGATAATAACAAGTGTTGGAAAGGACATAAAGAAATAAGAACCCTCACGCTCTGCTGGTGAGAATGCAGAATTGTGCAGCCATATTGGAAAACAGTCTGGTTGTTTCTCAAAAGATTAAACACAGAGTTACCATATGACCCAGCAATCTTACTCCAAGGTATGTGATGGAGAGAATGAAAACACGTGTCCACACTAAAACATATATGAATGCTCATATTATTATTATTTGTAATAGCCCCAAAATGGACACAAGCCAAATGCTCAGCAACAGATGAATGGATAGATAAAAATATATGGTATAATAATAAATGGAAATTATTCAGCCATAAAAAAGAATGAAGAACTGATACATGCTACAACATGGATGTACTTCAAAAACATTATACTAAGTAAAAGAAGCTATAATTCAAGTATTATCAAGACCATATATTATATGATTCCGTTTATATGAAATATCCAGAATAAGCAAATCTATAGAGACATAAAATAGATTAGTCATAGACTGAGGTTGAAGGAGGGGTTGGGAGGAAATGGGTAGTGGCTGATGATGAGTACACACATGATTTCTTTCTGAGGTGATGAAATGTTCTAAAACTGTGGTGATAGTTGTGTAACTCTGTGAACATACAATTACTAAACTGTTCATGATGAATGGACAAACTATGGTATGTGAATTATATCTCAATAAATCTGTTTTTCTTCCCCCCCCCCCTTAAAGAAATATAGGCTGAGGATGTAGCTCAATGTTAGCATGTTAGTTAGCATGTAAGAGGCCCTGGGTTGTAGTCTCAGCACTCCAAAAAAAAAAAAAAAAAGGAATTTAAGGCTATAATTGTAGAATGACTAAGAAAAATATTACAATGTTGAAAAGACCAGCTCAAGAATGTTTATCAGAACAGAGGAAAAGAACAAAGATAAACATGGAAAATGATTTATAGATGATAATAATTATAACAGTTTCAAAACTTGCAAGTTTTGCAAGAACACCTATAGCATCTAAGGAAACAATCAGATTAACCTTAAAGGAAAAACCCTGGGAAGCCTCAGTTTTTTAGACAAAAATCAAAGGCTAGAGCCAAATCTGTGTACTTCAAGGCAAGAATGAATGGCCTATAACCTGCCTCAGAAAGCCACTATTTGTATGAGAAAGAAAACGGTGGCTACAGGCCTCCTCGACTGTCACGGGCCACAAGATGACTTAAAAGAGCCATGAAATAGGTTATAAAAATTGCTTATTTTTTAAAACAGATAAACAATTCTGGAGGAAAAAAAAAAACAGAAAAAACAAAACCATGGTGCTATACTCTGCCCAATTATGTTAATGAAAGGAAATAGAAGTAACAAACCCTCCTCTTTCCCAACAACAAATCAAAAATGATTTTCCTGTTACTAACTTTGATAAGTGTATTTTACCTAATTCATTCCCCCATTTATCTATCTATCTATCTTTTCTTTTTTTTTAATATTTATTTTTTAGTTTTCGGCAGACACAACATCTTTGTTTGTATGTGGTGCTGAAGATGGAACCCAGGCCGCATGCATGCCAGGTGAGCGTGCTACCACTTGAGCCACATCCCCAGCCCATCTATCTATCTTTTCAATGCTGGAGATCAAACCCAGGGCCTCACACATTCTAGGCAAATGCTCTATCACTAAGCTACATCCCCTACTTTTTTTTATTTTTTTATTTTGAGATAGGGTCTTGCTAAGTTGCCCTGGCTGACATTAAACTTATGATCTTCCTGCTTCCAAGAAGCTGGAATTACAAGTGAGTGCCACTATGCCCAGCTTATTCCTCTATTTACGTGCATCCTACTTAGGAATGTCTTTGAAAGCTTTAAGGTACTACTGGAATAAGTACA